ATAAAATTATATTTACGAGAAATATTCTTACGGCCTCTTAAATATTCTCCTTATCCGTTTCAGCGTAAAATAACACTTCTTGTAATGACTCCATCATTGTATTTTACTTACAATATTGCGATTGTTCATTAAAACTCTCAATATCTTTGTTCCTATAATTTATATTTTCTAGTGAAATTCTATGCCCTTTGTGCACACATATGAACGAATTCTGATGCGTTTTTTAATAGATAAAGTAATTAAAGATTTTAATAGTGGAGAAATTTAATAATATTATCAGCATTGCAACCGTGCGAACTGAACTGAAGTGGCAGTGGGCAGGTCACATCTGTCGAAGAACCGATGACCGGTGGAGTAAACGTGTTCTAGAGTGGAGACCACGTCTAAGCAAACGCAGTGTAGGGCGCCCTCCAGCTAGGTGGACTGACGACATTCGCAGGGTGGCTGGCAGTGGTTGGATGAGAAGAGTTGAACATCGAGCTCAGTGGCGTGCAATTGGGGAGGCTTATGTCCAGCAGTGGACGACATCAGGCTGATGATAATGATGATGATGATGAATCGTGCGAAGCCGAAGCGAATAGAATAATACTATGGTTTTTTTGTTCATAAGAAAAACTTACAATAGTGTTTAGAGCCTAAACGATTAGGATTTAAGTTTGTTTCCGAATGCATACTTTACAACAAGTATGACCTACAAACTGTTGGTCGTAAAGTTTATTCAACCGACACAAAGAGGTCGGACTGAATGTTTTGTTTTGTGCAACTTCGTTTAACTATACAATACAATACAATACAATACAGAAATAGCTGTAATTTTATGAGTAATAATATATTTTATATGATTTTTCACAAATAACAGTTGCAATAATTCAAACAATATTTTTTTATATTTGTATTACTGTACCTATGACAAGAAAAAAGAACTAAACATTTTATTAATGACGATAAAATAAAGAACATTTTTTTTAACGTGCTTGGAACTTAATATCGATTGTAGTATCAGTATTTATTTCGTTGCGCTGTAAAGTAAATGGCTTTTAAAATATTTATAGTATTCTTATATTATGTGCTTAGAAATCTCACCTTACTTTTAATAATTAAAAAAAAAACACTCTGTATATCATGGTTCCTCTATATAGATAAAACAATTGATAAAAAAGTTTATAAGTATAATGTCTTCAGTCTAGTAACCAGCCAGTAAAGTCAAATCGCTAATATTGTACGGCATTGAGTAAATGTCTGCCATATAAGAAAGTGAAGCCTCATAATGTCAGCTAGACCAATTAGCGATGTTTTGTCACTCAACTTTCCAAAGAGTCATTATCTAGAAATGAAGTGCTTTTTATTTTCTTATAATAAGAAATTAATTGGCATCTTCCAAAGCTCAGATGAGAAAACATAAAACATTAGAGAAGTCTAATCGAGCGCAGTTATTTTTATTCTTCAATGGCATTTGATAAAGAGCTAAATATTTTTAATAACGAAACGTTTTGTTAACATTTTGGTATAATGTATTTTTTGTTGAATGACGTATGTGGTTCAGTGCTCTCAGTATTATTTCAAACAAAGAACTATGATTTTTTGAAAACCGAACATAAAAATCGAAAATAGATAACAAGAGACTTGATAAACAGATAGAGACAGACCTCTGAGTTTTAGAAGAATTGTAGAGCATTTCGTGTAAGATAAGAAACAGGCTTCCTATGGTTATTTTTATGTGTAAAAATTACTGTTTCGTCTCCTATTTAGAAAAATAAAATCGTAGTTTCATTGTTAATAATGATATATTATTGTCAGAACCTGGCACGATTTTCGATAACACTTTTTTTTTTGAAAATATGGAAATATCGCTATAACTATTATCCCGATCCTGGCCTGGAACTTGAAACCACATTTGATCGTCAATCCTGACTAAAAATAAGAATGTTTATATCACATAATATAGTTACGTATATGTTACTAAAACTAGCAAAGTCGGAAATACTTACATATATTAAAAACGTGATTTTCCATGGCACGTGCATGACACAGTTTTCAATCGTTTCATATAACAACGATCGCTATTATTTAAAAAAAATAGTTTTACGTTAGTCACACTTAGTTGACAGTATATTCTTCGTGGTTGAAAAGATAACAACAAAATTTTTAATAAATGCATTTTACTAATAAAATATTTATTTACTCAGTTCTTTAAAATTTGTATTCTAACAAAATTTACAATGATAGAGAAAAAAATAACGATGTGTTATGTTTTATTTTACTAAAATAAATAATTAATATAAGAGGTTTTTTGCAGCAAAAATCCTTCTCATTCGTTTCCTTAAAATATTTTTTGAAAATACGACTTAGTCATGGACTTAAAACTATATACTAACTAACTACTTTATGTCTATATTGACTACTAAAAATCATGATAAGCAGGGACATTTCTTGAAGATTTGACTAATTCTTGTATATATAAAAAACAACGAGTTCATTGTAATTTAAAATAGATTACGAATAACGTTAGCATACATTTCACTTCGAGATGTGCGTAGTTACTCTTGATGCTCACAGGGGCACATCAACAAATGAGGTTCTATAGCGGTTACATAAAAAAATAAAACGAAAGTACCAAATACTTTTAATACCAGAACGAATTACTTTGGAACATACACATGTTTACAAAAAATGGAGTGAATCTCGCAGCTATAAAAAACATAAAAATAATATGGTGGTACCAACAAAAAAATAGTCAGAGAATTGATTTTATAAAATTAATTTGGTAATAACAAAACTCGTCACAAATTTACAATTACAAATTAAAATTCACAAAAATAAAAATATTATAAATATTCACATCCATTATGGTAACTCTACTTGACTCAGAAAACAACTGATTTAGAAAAACAGAACTCGCGATGGCTTATGACATTTTTTTCTGATTTATCATAGCAACTGACTTATAATCTACTACCTACTACGTACTTAATATTTGACTAATAGATACGAAAAAAATATTTCGAAATCGAAAAGAAAACACAAAATTTCGAGTACGTCGGTAAGGCAATAAACTAAAAATATAACAATTTAGTTTAGGACAGCTATTAAAATTAAAAATTCCGCACGTGACTACCTATTTTTCGGTAATAAATATTTATACTGTGAACTTTAATCCGGGACTTTTAATAAGTAAGTATTTTAAATTCATTATTCCTAATTTAATTTCGCCAATTATACAAGTCAATGTCAATTAATTAGCAAATGACGTAAGAGTATAGAATAACTATTTTTTTCTCATTTCACAATTTTTCAAATGTTTCAATGTAGTGAAATTCTCATGGGACTCCTTTTCAATTTAATGGAAAATTTAAACCTCATATGAAATTCATATTTTCGTAAAAGTACAATATCAATTGTTAAAAATGTGAAAATGAATGGGATCATTTGGAAAACGAAGGAAAATTATTCAGAATATTGAATTCAGTTGCACGTTTCCTCTCAAATATGGTAAAACTGGAATATAAAAATTATTATGGCAATGTTTTTTATTTTTATCAGTGTACATGTTTTGTAAGAATTAACTACGAAGTATAGGCTTAATTTGGAATTCCCTTCTAAATTTAGTTAGGTATAAACAATAAAAAATTGTTTTTTTTTCGAAACACATTCTTTGTGACTCTCTTCTACTTTCAAATAACAATGAATTGCTGTTCTTTAGTCTCGCTAAAACTCGTGAACGGCTTAATCGATTTGCTTAAGATGGATCTTGAAATATACGAGGAAGCCCAGGTTTTCAAAATGTGAGAAAGAAGTATTCATTGACTGTCAGGCAGTTCGAAGTTGGCTGGGACAACTAGTTGTCAAATCCAAACTAATATTATAAATGCGAAAGTTACTCTGTCTGTCTGTCTTGTCTTCACGTCTAAACTACTGAACCTATTTGTGTGAAATTTAGAACAGACATAGTTTGGAACTCGAGAAAGGACATAGGATAGTTTTGAAACTAAAAATCTGGGGCTAAAGCTAGTACTTAAATAACAATACTTTTTTACTTTGTAATATTATTTAGGTTCAAGTATTTATAAAAACGTAGGACTGCAAGCGTGCAGCGGCTTCGTGATGGTTACGTTAGTACGTAAGTTAGTTGCGCCCGCGTCTGCGGTTGTATGTACCTGCCGTCATTGATTGTTTTCAGTTGCATCTTAGCCTTCAACGTTGCATTTAACCGTTCATTGCCATACGACTGCATAGCCCTTTCATTCTAGAATTATTTTTTCAAGTCAATGCAAACTTTCTCTTTGTATTTATTACTTTTAATTGGTGTATAGGCATTCATATATTGTTAGGTTTTAAATTTTCGATCGTTGTTATTCAAGATACAATAGAAGGAGAAATGGTGCGCCAATACCGGCTTTCGCTTGGGGTTTGATGAATTAATATGGTCAACATAAGTGGACGCCTCGATGTCAAAGGTTAACAGCTACATGAAGCTTGGGTCTCACATCAAAATTTTACAAGAATCATATAATTATTAAATGTCATTATCAAAACTATTTCGATTTATTTGATTTATGCAATATCACGATTGTCACTGATTCGAGCACCGGTTCAATTCACGCTATGGTTTGACTATTACCCGATGTGGCTGTTTACGACCGTGAAAAGTACCGTCAGATGTTTGCCCCAGTTCATCGTTCGAAATGATTTATTATGGTGCTAGTTAATTGTAGGTCAAGAATATTTAATGTCTTTTAATGCATTTTTTTATTACGATAAACATGCCTAAGGAAATTTCTACAATTTTTCATTATACACATAATATTATTTAGTTGTATACAGAATAAAAGCCAGCATACAGCAAGCCTCTTTTTTAAATTATTTTTGGTAAGTAATTTTCTTATAAGAATTGTGATTTTATTCATGAAAAAAGAAAGTGGCAGAACAAGAATTTCAATTTCCTAATTAAAAATGTTAATTTATATTGTCAATAAATGAAGTGAAAAATATAAAAAACTTACCTTAATGTGAGATTATTGATGAATGGAATCCAGATAATTGTACACACACTGTTAAAGGTAGCACTAGGGAATTAAAAAGGTGTTATGAAGATGGTTTTTAGGGCATGCGGCACACGAGCGCCCGTGACACGGCGCGCGAGTCGGAGCTTTGAGTGGCGCGTGCGCCGGTCACGTCTTACTTATAGTTTCAGCCGCGCGGTGTAACACTTTCCCCACCTATCTTCATCTCTTTGTAAAGGTAAGAGATATCCGAATTTCTCTTTCGTTTATGATATGAAAAATCTGACAGAAAAAGAAGTTTTTATAATTTTAAGGTTATACAAGATGGCCACTACAAGACATAATTTTTACTAAATATTTTCGAAATTCCATTTGTTTGGATGTACACATACCGTTTTATTTATTATTATTTTCAAAGAGTGATAATTGAAATTACATTGAACGCCTATTTGAATGCACGGTTCTAAATAACTTTAAGTAATCTTGCGAAATAGTCAGCTGCTTAAATACAATTTCGATGACTACATTACATACCTGGATTTTTGATTTAGGTATCTGAAATAAATAATAAGTACGTTTATTACGTAGCATATATTAGAACAACGAAGAAAATTTCCAAAAGATATCACACTCACATTAATTGGCATTACAGAAAAAGTATTCTCATTTTTTATTTTATGTTTACGTACCTACTTTGACTGTGTTAACCTGTGATTGATAATAGATGTCCTGAATTTGAAGGTTGCTAGTTTTTCTAGAATTTTCTCTAAGGCCCTGACCGCACCGAGGTGGAACTGCGACAGGTTATAACCGTGTAATTCTGTGAAACAAGAAAACAAATGCAAGCGACTGCTTTAGCGATTTTGTCCTGTGACTAAATTCGATTTGAAGTTATGTTGTTAAAAACCGCCGCGGTTCTGTTGTAGTACACCCCAGACTCCCTTACGTAGATAAAACCATTATAGTATTCTAGTCGTAAGTAATAGACGAAACAAGTCAACAAAAAATCTGGAAATAGTATTTTTATTTTAAAGAGTTACATATCTCTACGTCTACATCTATTTGGAGGCATGTTCTATCTACATATGTATATATACTTGTATATGTATATATCTATGTCATTGGAGCTCGTGATTTTACTCACATAATCATACTCAGGCCTAGCTAGGCCCTTGGGTAATGTAACCGCAAACGTTTTGTCCCGCGTAGCCTTCGAACCGTAGGCTTCAGATAGATCTAATTTGCCTGTCATTTCTATGGTTACCAACAATACAATAACTAACATACACAGCTGACTGGGCCCTAAGTGTGGTAAAGCCATGCTTGGGCACGAATGGGTCAGCTCGAGCGGAGTAATTTAATTTACTTCAGGCAATTAAACCCATAGCAATATTAAAAAAATCTAAAAAACTAAGCAGTACAACAAACAATATAAAGTGTTATGTTTTTATAATAAAAAATCTTTTATCTTTAATCTAAGATGGCGGCCTCACAGTAAACCGGCGTGAAACAACCACAGAGTTGAGTTTCGCCGTGTAAGTGACATTACTGGAGGACCAATCCTACCCCTCCCCCAATCCCTAATCCCCAGGTCGGCATCCCCTAAGGTTGGCAACGCACTCGTAACTCCTCTGTTGTTGCGGGTGTCCATGGTCGGTCCTGATGCTTACCATCAGGTAATCCGTATGCTCGTTTGCCGACGTGTCACATAAAAAAAACAATTATTGGGTACAACAGTTTATCTTACTACCGACTATTATCTACTGACCTGACGGTAAGTAATCGGCGTCACTCATAGATTCGAAATACCAGAAAAGTTATGATTCCGTTACCGGTGTTTTTAAGTACTTATGGAGGGATTTAAGTACTTATAGGGAACTTATGGTGTGTTGATGATAGACTATTGGACTGCCAGTAATCTCACTTTGTTGTTGTGGTTTCTTTTGGCGGTCATTTTTTATGGTATAAGTCGGCAAACGAGCTGACGGATTACCTGATGGTAAGCAATCGGCGCCGCCCATGGACACCCGCAACACCAAAGGAGTTACGAGTGCATTGCCGGCCTTTTGGGGATAAGGGTTGCAGATATATGGATCGGAAAGGGATAGGGGAAGGGGCGGGATTGGGCCTCCGGTAACCTCACTCACCCGGCGAAACAACACTGTGGTTGTTTCACGCCGGTTTTCTGTGAGGCCGTGGTATCACTCCAGTCGAGCCAACACATACGTGCATGGCTCTCCCACACGGTCTTCTCTGAGGCCTTGGTATCATTCTGTTTAAGCCGGCCTATATGTGATTAAACATGGGTCGGATTCTCAATATACATTCTCAGCGCATAAAGCATTTATAAGCGTATCAAGAGAGGTTTAAGCGATCTACGCTTTGTTGGAAATTGGAAGATAATCGGATCAAATATGAAACTATTGAGTGCCTTTTAATGCACTAGGAACTTACCTTGGGCTAGAGCAACTGATGAAAGGGGGAGAGAGACAAGATTATTGCAATTAAATAACTTCACCAAATAAAGAAAAAGGAGTAAGGATGTAATGGCACATACTATTTTCTTTATTTTGCTCTCCATTCATCCATTCATCACCACGTCCATAGGACAAGTCATAAACATTTGAATAGAATGATAAAATACGTATTTCATAAATAGATAATTCAAGCCAGGTATAAAGTCCGTCAGGTAACTACGACAATATTGAATTATGGATTTGTGAATTGGTATTACATATTAGAATGTCTTTTTTTTCTCTAATCTAAATAATGACTTTGTAGTGAAGCGTCAGTTTACCTACGTTGGTCTAACTCTTAAATAAATTAATTTCGATATTTAAAAAAAAAACTTGTACATTAAACACATTAGAGTTTATTTCAGTAGTTTTTAAATAGTTTGTGAGACTTTGATTATGTTTTCGCTTGTCGTATCGACTCAAAACAAAATTTAACATTTCAAACGCATTTTAAATGTTTTAGCAATGAAATACTGAATTTAAATAGACAAAAGTTTAAAATTCAATTCAGTGACATCGCAGTCAGATATTTAAACACAAATGGAATAATTTTCATCAAAATATTTTTAGCAGAACACAATCGAATTCAAAGAAAAAAGTTCTACAACGGGTTTTCGGAATTTCGGAAAAGTTGGTAGCGGTATTATTATTTACGACATTCAGACGATAATATACTTTATCTCACAGTTTTTAAGGAATACTTTGAAATGTGTAGTATTTTCCTAGTGATATAAAAATTTCCTTGGTTACGCTACAAAAGTAATCAAGTTTAAATATCAAGTAATATCGATTCATTTTAATGTGATTGTGTTTATTGAGTGTCAATATCTGCTTCGTGATCGCTGGTATTCTATAGGTGCACTTTAGAAAATTGTATTTTCATTATAGTTATAGAGAAAAATTCTAGAAGCTTTGCTTTTACTATTGTTACTAATTGCAAAGAGTTTAAAACGATTTTTCTTGTTGAAAACTCGATTTTTATTCGAACCTATCTGTGTAGAAAATTATTTGTGATAGTATCTAGTTTTAATTGTAAAACAAAATTGTTGCGATTTTTTGTTTTAAATAAAGAAAAATAAAATATAAAATTATATTTTTCGTAAAATTTATTAAAAACATATGAAATCGGTCAAAGTACCTAATAGTCAATATCAGTACTTTTTACGTCAAAATATAATAGTAGTATGTCAGTCTGTTTATCAGAAGCTAGGTACTCGTTCCAAATTGTAGATTCGAATGGAGAAGAACGAGCAAGTAACTCCTTTTAAAAAATATTTTTGTTAAACAATTTCACTAATATAAGATTAAATTTACATTATTGTACCGCTATGTGAGAACAGTGCAGAAAAAGTTGTAAAAAAAGAACAAATAATTTGATCTATCATTAAATTTTAATCCTTTATCGTCTCGAACATGGCTCATATCCGCGTTCTGATCATCAAATAAAAATAATAACTATTTTATATTAATTTTTCGCAGATTCCCACACTATGACAATCACATAGCTATAGTTGTGGAAGGCAACACTAAAGATTGGAGTATCTACTATGAAACCGCAGGGCATAGCGAGTATGTTAAGAGTAGCAGACAAGACGTCATAGCGATGCATCCAAAAATGTAGTTAAACAAGTCCATGGATTTTATATTTGTGTTATATCACTGATTTACATACGAATTAAGCTTTTATTTCTACTAATGTTTATTCCAATCGATTATATTAGGTATGTAGGTTTTCATTAAATTACACTTAAGCCTATTTTTTCTTTCTATCAAAAGGTTTCCCCACACTAGGATTTTCTCCTGTATCGTGGGTTCTGTTACAAACATACACATCACACCCAGACCCGGAATAATAATTTATAAAGAGTTGTTCCGTGCGGGAATCGAACCCGCGACACGTTGCACGGCAGCCAGTTGCTCAGCGACTGCACCAACCGTGCAGTCAAAAGACTATATTTTTGTATATCATTTGATTGATGAACGAACTGTTTAAATATTGAACAAAATAATAATAAATTGTTTCATATAAGAGATCACAAGCGTGTTATTTTTAGTTAGGTAATAAAACGCATTGCACCCATTATTGAACTTTTTTGTTAACGTTAAAAATATTATAATTCAATAAGTTTTTTCCAAGCTAATTAAATGGGCAATCCACTACTTAGTTAGTACCTAAATTTCTTAATATAATAATTTAGAAATATTACAGTGACTAGAGTTAAGAATACCTAATTGAAAAAAAAAGTTTGTAATGTCCATCAATCTACGTACGAAAAAAGTTTTTAATAATTAATTACTAATAAAAAACGTATCAAAGAATTTGGCGCGTTTTAACGATGCGTAATTTTGTAAAATATCTTTGCTTTTACTTTTTAAGTGGCCTGGAATTGGATTACAATGGTCTGTTTTACAGTATATTGATAACCGATTTCCACTATATTCTATTGAGATAGAGAATATCTCTATTCTCTCTCGGTCTTTATCTCTGTATATCTGTTATCAAGAATTGCTTAAAGATCTATTAAATTGGTATTTTATAGAAATTTTAAATTTTTTGGTTTGTCTGCAGTACTAGGAGAAAATTAGCCTGTGTTGTTCCTGACTACTATCTATCTCTATGTCAAATTTC